CGCAGAACTCCATCCTTCTCTCTGCCTGGTTCAGACAGGTTAGAAATCCTACACTTGGGCCCAGTCCAGGGTCCCCAGCTCCAGGAGAGAGGAAGGGAAGGGGGGACACCAACTTCCTTAACATCTAGGCAATGGCTGTGTGCGACAGCTGCCCTCTGACCTGTGTGCTCCAGCCAGGACTTCCCCTCTCCAGGAGTCTTGATGGAATGAAGGGCAGAGGGAGTCATGTGACCTTGAAAGGGATCCCCAGGCGTTGTAAGTAGCTAGGCTGCCTGAGGAAGCACTGATGATACTCAGCAGGGCACCTACACTTCCAAGCTATGTCCCAGGCCACCATCCTGAGGGCAGCCCCTGGAGGGGTGATGCTCAGAGCAAAACGGCCCCTCCATACTCCTCCCCCAAGTCATTGCACACATAAAAGGAAAATCCCAGTGCTCCTCAAGTTTCAGCAGTGACAGGTTAAAAGCAAAAGAATCCACCCAGCACCGCACACCGCCCCACCGCTGAGTCCTGCCGGCGATGTTGCTCCACCTTCCAGATTGGCCTGTCAGTCAGGCTTTAGCGTTATTGAAAGATCAAACTCTGTCCTGCCTGTTCATTACCTTAATCCTATTTTCTACATGGCTTTATTATCTGCTCGGGCTTCTCTGGGAAAGACAGCTACACACAGTCATCCTGACCATCCATTTCCTCCCTCCAAAAGCAGATGCCTCTACCAGGGCATCGTTCCCCAGACCCTGCACTGGGTCCTCCAAGCTCCCCTGGGGACAGGAGAGATGTTTAAAACAAGCCTGGCTGCTCTCAGTGGTGAGGAGGGGAGTTACGGGGGCTAGAAAGGTGGCAATACCAAGTGACACCCATGGGTAGGCTGGCCAGAGGGTGCAGTGGCTGCTGCTTGTCTGGTTCCAGTGAGAATCGAGGCCATAACTATCTTGTACCCATTTTAATTTGGGTTCTTTCTGGGTTCTGTAAAAACTGTGTTTGGGATGAGTGAGGCCTAGGGATTTCATAAAAGAATGCCTTTCAAGGATTGGTGCCTCAGAACTCCATCCTGATCATAAATCTGTGCCCAGGCATTACCCCCCACCCTGCCAAGGCAACTACAGGCAAAAGAGGCCACTCGAAGATTACTCAACCTCAAGATAAAGCTGGGCCATGGGCCATGGCAGTGCGGCCCTCCCCCCCCCCCCCCCCCCCCCCGCCCACCTTGCTGGCTTGTCCACCATCCTGGGCCCAGGCCAGTGATGATGCCAAAGACCAGGTCCAGTAAAACTGACCTTCAGCAGAAATGCCCATCTTTGTGACTTACAGCCTTACTGTCAGGTGCCTTCTCTATGCCATGAGGTCAGCATGTTCACCCTCACCCTCCACTGGTCATAGGCCACAAATATTTAGAGGACTGAAAGGGTGAGCCTCCACAAACACCAGGTGCCAATGTGGGAGACAGCTGTGGATGGGTAGGAAGAGAGGGAAGTAGACAGTTTGAGTGGTTGACTGACCCCAAGGTGACAGGCATTGTGTGGGTACTTGTTAAAAATAAATTTTTTATACTGGTTCTGTTAAGTAGGGATAATTAGATCCCATTTGCAAATGTGGAGGCTGAGGCTCAGAGAGGCCCCCCATGTCACAGAATTAATCAGCAGCAGAGTCGGTTCTAGAACCCAGGTCTGTCTGACCATAGCCTGTGCTCCCTCTGTCGTTCCTCAAAGCCTCCCCATCACCCGCCAGAGGAGGGGCTCCTTCCCCAGCCCCGTTCAGATGCAAGAAGTTGCCAGTAGCACGAGTTTGGCAGAATGAGCCATGGGAATAACCTTCACAGACTGCAGGAACTCCAACATCCCAGGGGCTACAAACAAAGGAGTCCTTGGAAGTTTTAGCTACGCTGGCAACAGTGTGATACAATCAGCTATAATAACAAAAGTAGAAGATTTGGAATAAGGGCAATGATAGCACCCACCACTCAGCCCACACCTGCTATGTTCAGTACTCAGTTATGAACACCCCATTTTAAGGGGAATTAAACCAGATAAATCAGAGAAACTTTCAGGTAAGAATGGTCCTAAAACAGGCGTGAGACCAACACTCGAAGATTACTCAACCTTCAAGGTATCTTGTACCCATTCTCATTTGGGCTCTTTGCTATTCCTCTCTTTCTTTCTTGCTAACCAAACCCTGATTATGTGCCTTCCTCCTCCTCCCCCACTGCCAAGGTGCATGGTGGGAAGCTGAGCTCTTCCCCAGGCCTAGAGGTGAATCTGGACTGGTCATTCCATTTCCCATGACAGAGTGTGATTCAGGGTGAGTGCTAGAATACACCTTTGGCTCACTAAATACAACAAGCCGGCTTGGGAGCTCCTAGGAAGGGCTTCCTCATCTTAAAAAGGGGCCCCAGGCAAGTACATGTCTTCTTCCTTCCCTCTTCCCTTTGGGTGTTGCCTTATGAGTTGGAAGACCTTTAGTAAACAAACCTGTGGGCAAGGGCAAAAGCCACCTTGACGGGTGGCAAAACAGAAAGCAGAAGAGAAAATGGGCCTCATTCTCTCATTGAACCACTGAACCCCTCAATCCTGGAACCAGCTCACTAGCCAATTTCTGGACTCCTGGTCATGTAAGACAATAATAATAATTCCTCTATTGTCTGAGCCACTTTGAATTAGGTCTTCATTACTTACAGACAAAAGCACCCAACTGATCTATTATGTTTATGAGCAACAACTAAAGAGTCTTGGACTTTTGGCCCACAAAGAAGAAGACCCTGGAGGAGCAAGACCAAAGGTTTCTGAAATCTAAAGGCCTGTCTTCAGAGGAGAGGTTCAACTTGCTTCGTGTTGGGATCACACCTCCAGGAAGGAGATCAACCCTCGATGACAGGAGGCACTCTAAGTCTCAGAGCTGGCCAAGGATGTAATGTGGTATTTGGTGAAGTCGCGAGTTTCCTACCTCTGCAGCTGGATGATCATCAAGAGAATGTTGTAGAGAACACCTTATTTAATTATGTGTTATAACACAATGGCTACTTCAGGAAGAAAGATATGGCTAAGACTTTTCTGGGAAGATGGAGACAAAAGGAGAAGACAAGCTAGAGCAACTGAGGCAAGGGAAACGCAAGATGAGCACATCCTCATTGCTCATTATGGCATTGAAGCCAGACTGTAGGTGCTTAGGGAGAGGTGAAGAGTTCTTAGACTTGACGGGGAAAAAAAAAAAGTATTGACAATACCTAATGCCACTGAGGATGTGAAGAAACTAGATCTTTCATACACTAGGGTCAGAATATAAAATAGTTAAGATACTCAAAACAATTTGGCAGGTAACAAAAACTAAACATACGCTTACCAAATGACCCAGCAATTGTACTCCTGGGCATTAATCCCAAAGAAATGAAATTGTAAGTCCACACAAAAGCCTACACACAAATGTTCATTACAACTCTATTTGCAATAGTTAAAAAACTGAAAACAACCCAAATGCCCTTCAATGGGTGAATTCTATTCAATGGGGAAAGAAACTTGGTTACATCCATACCTGAGAATCTATCTACACTAATAAAAGAGAAACATGCAAATTGGTGTCACTCCACTACGCCCACCAGCCAATCAGAGCGACTATGCAAATTAACCCAATAAAGATGGCGGTTGATTTGCATACACAGGTGTGGTGCGAAGACTGAAGGCTCTGGCTGGAGTGAAGACTAAAGCCAAGCCTCGCTACGGCCGGACCAAAGGCCTGGGTCCCAGGTGCCGGAGGAAAACCGGTGCCGGCAGCCAGGGGAAGGAAGGCCTATTGCACGAATCTCTTCGTGCAGTGGGCCTCTAGTATATATATAAAAGCCTAATATGCAAAGTGTCCCCTCAGGAGTTCGACCGACCAGGAGTTGGATCACTCACTATGACGTGTGCTGACCACCAGGGGTTGGCGCGAAACGAAGGGAGGCCCTGGTTGGCCGCCAGAAGGAAGGCCCCGATCAGCCCTGATCGCCAGCCAGGCCTAGGGACCCTACCCATGCACAAATTTCGTGCACTGGACCTCTAGTATACTATATTTAGCAATAAAAAGTAAAGTGCTATTTATACATGTAACAACTTCTATGGGTCTCAAGAGAATTATGCTGGGGGGACATATCAAAAGATTACATACTATATCACTTATTTAATACTTTCAAAATGGAAAAATGATAGAGATGAGGAATACAAGTGTTGCCAGCGATGAGGGACCACAGGGAGTGGAGCATGGGTATGATTATAAAGGGTAAATGAGGGATCTTTGTGCTAACGGAACAGACAGTTCTGTATCTTTTGCAGCAGTGATTACCTGAATCTACACACCGGGTAAAATTGGAAAGAACTACACCTACCTGCGTGCGTGCACGCACACACACACACACGTGCAATCTGAGTAAGGGTCTGTGGACTGTACCAATGTCAATTTCCTGGTTTTAATATTATACTGTGTAAGGCGTTATTTCATATGAATCTATAATTATTTCAAAATAAAAAGTTTTTGAAAACCATACGATAGAATGGCAGGTAATCAGATGGGAGTGTGTCAAGCCTGCCAAGACAGAGAAATAAATAAAACCTGGATGTATTTTAACTGTTCTGTATAATTCTTTTTATGGGTCTGTAGGCCACTTCCAAAATATCTTTATTTTAGAAAAGCCATCTCTGAGGATAGATGGGATTTTATGTAGCCACATAGGCACTCCCCGGAGAAAAAGTATCATAAATCCAAACTGTTGTTATCATAAATTTCACATGAAATTATTTACCAATTATAAATCACTTTAACAGTCTCCTCAAGCTAACAGAACGATTCCACATGAGAAGGTACCACAGCAGAGGCTGTACTGAGTTTCGGGGCAGGAGTGCTTCCCAGCCTTCTCCCAGAACTCTGGGAAGCCACCTGCAGGGGGGCTGGCTCCACCAGCTCTCCCCACTGCCGCCCTGGCAGCTCCAGCCCCTCCCCCACCGCAAGCCACGGTGGGCTCAGGAATCTCTTACCTGTTGAGGTCCCAGATTCTTAGGGGTGAGAAGTGCCCACAACAAGCCGTTCCAGTCACAAAAGAGCTGCCAAACAAAAGGAGAGCAGAGTCAGGTCTGGCTTGTCAGAACTTGTGGCGGAAATGGCTACACAATTGACGGTGCAGTGCTCATTCTCCAAGGGGTTCTGGGGTTAAGCCAGGATGAGAGAAGCAGCCAAGAGAGCCATCAGAGGGGTTGTGGGAAGACCAGTGGGAAGTACGGTGAGGGCTGTAACCTCCCGGAGCTGCCTGCACAGAGAAACCACAGGTTCACGATGGCTGAGCTTGCCACTCTGACCTAGCTGCATGGTCTCTGCCACCATAAAAAATCATCTCTAGGTGCACAACTCTGAGGCCAAGAGAAGCAAGCCTCTCAGGCCTCAGCTGCATGAAGTTCACAAAGCCAACGCACAGGAATGGTCTCCTGGAACAGGCTGCTGGGTGCCGGACGGTGATGCCCTTCCAGGGCTGAGGGGGTGGGGGCGTTCTTGAAGGTTTTCAGAGCCCAGGGTATCTGTAATGTGGCCCAAGCACAGGGCAGATGTAAAGGCACCGATCAGAGAAAGAAAACGGTGAGAGGTGAGCAACCATATGAAAAGATGAAGCGAGTAAGATGCCTGAAATGAAGGTGGGAGAGCTGGGAATGTCAGAGGCCAGGCAGCCAGGGCCGCTGCGGAGTGGGATGGGAGTCAGGCAGAGTTTAGAGGACAAGGACAGACGTTGCCAAGAGGCAGGTGAGAGGAACACTCCGACCAACTTTCCCAGAGTATCTTTTAAATCCTAAAATAGTGATGGCAAACCTTTTGAGCTCGGCGTATCAGCATTTTGAAAAACCCTAACTTAACTCTGGTGCCGTGTCACATATAGAAATTTTTGGATATTTGCAACCATAGTAAAACAAAGACATATTTTTGATATTTTATATATTTAAATGCCATTTAACAAAGAAAAATCAACCAAAAAAATGAGTTCATAGGTTCGCCATCACTGGCCTAAAAAGTTCAACAAATACAATCTGCAGAGTTTCAACTTAAGTGCAGGCACCAGCCCACTGAGAAGGGTCTGTGCAACGAGCCAGGCTGGCTATAGTGCTAGGACTAGAACTTGAACCTATGAACCAGGCCACTCCTTTGTTAGAGGATTTGGCAGGGGTGGGGAGGGGAGGGGAAGCCTACAGGAACCCAGGGCTTGAAAACCTAAATTGCAAGCAGGAGAGCTGAAAGCAGTTGTGTCACTCAGGAGCCCGGGGCAGGGCAGGGCCATGTCCCTACATGTCAGGCATGGGGGGAGAGGGACTGGACATACTAATGACATGTTTGCAATGCGGGGCAGCAGCCCATCCACCCTGGCCCTGCCCAGCACCTGTGGCTCTCTGATCCCAAGCATGTCAGTGGGGAGATGGATTTCCGCAGAGAGGGCTCTTTAGAAGCCAGGGGCTTTGGCTGGGGGCAGGAGGAAGGGGGGACTTGGCCTGCGAGTTATGACTAGGGAGATGTTAGGGCAAGCACTGGCCAAGCCACTGATTTACAATCAAAATTGTAGGGCAGTTGTCTGCTTTTCAACCCAGACTGACAAAATAGCCACGGGAGCCACCCTGTGGCTTCCATGCCTCAAGCCAAGACTTCCTCTAGGGACATGCTCCATCATCCTACCTTCCTCTCAACCCATGGGAGTGCCAGCAGCCATGAGACTAGAGCAGTGTGCCCAAACAGCCACTCTGTCATCTCCCAAGGGACTCCCAGCCTGGGAAATGGCCCTGGACAGTGAAGACCCAAACTACAAAGCTGCGAGGTGGTGTCCTGACCGCCCCCTACATTTTTCTTTGGAGGGTAATCCATTGATAACTGGTAAAGCCAATTACCTTGGGTAGGAAACGTAATAGCCACTTGGAAGTCATTCGAGCAGGCCATTGGGCTCTCCAGATTTTTGAAGATTTGGGGCCAGGTAAGGGCGCCAGCAGAGACATCTCTTAAGGAGACCTGCGGCAGGCCTCTGCCCCGCCACAGGCCTAAATGGGCATCAAGGTCAGTCAACAGAGAGAGGGTAGGCACCTGGAGCCTGAATCCCTGCCACTCCCACAGCTCTGACGTCCCAGCAGGCCGGGGTGGGGAGGGGGCACTTTGCTGGGACTCCTGTGCTGCTCTATCCCTGCCCACACCCTGGCCCTGTCCATCTGCCACCAGGAGGGGAGCCTCTCAACTGCATGCCCCACGAAGGCCCTTCTTAACTGTCTTTTTATGACACCCATGAACGTTTCTTCCCACAAGCTGTCTTCCCCTCACTTCACCATGTGAAGCAGGGAGGAAAGGAAGGAGGGGAAGTAGAGAGTCCGCCTGGCACGAAGAGTTTAATCAAATATGACACAGCAAAAAAAAAAAAAAACAGTCAAGCAACAGTCAAGCATATCTGGAGCCAGGTTCTGCTGGGGATACTCAGCAGGACTCAAACTCAAACCATGGGGCCGCCTGGGGACAGGGACAGCAGAGGCAGAAGCTGCTGGCTCCCAGATGGCTTGACCATCTTCCTCTGAGTCCCTACTACACTTGGATCTCACCTTCTTGGGACAAATGGCCTTTTGGGAGGTTATCTTCCCATGTTACCTTTGAGATCATTAAATAGCTGGTGGCTCTTTTGTGTATTCCAGTGACCAGCAGAGTGCCTGACCCAGAAGAAGGGCTCAGGACAAATCCGTGGACTTGAACTGAAAGGGCCTTCCAGAGCTCATGGCCAACAAGGCCAAGAAGCTAGTCACGGGCTATGAATGGGGTCCCTCTGCTTCTTAAAGGAATAATTCCCAAATCAGCAGACTCAGACCTGAATGACACATGACAATGATATACTGTTGTATATCATTGGGGCAGTGAAATAAGCACCACAACCAGATAATAGATGAGAAATACCAACAGTACCTAAAAATTAATGTCAAAACTCTCTCGTCTCACACATGCAAATGCACAAACTCTCAGCTTGAGTGTCTAAAAGTCATTCTGACTCCATAAACTATACTCTTTTTGGACAAGAGAGCCCTTAACAGGAGCCAGTCTTTTACAGTTTCTCATTCTGTGCCAAGATCCCCTTCCTACCTATTGGCCCCCTGGCCCCAGGTCAGGTAAACCTGGCATCACAGAGATCAGTATCAGGCCCAAGCAGTAGACATAGGAGCCCTCACATCAGGACAGCAGGAATAGAAAATAAAACACAGAAGAGAGAGAAAGGTATGAAGGGAAATTAGTTGGGTGTGAGTAATTTATTGAGCACTTGCTAGGTGCCAGATTCTGAGCAAGTGTTTCAAAAGCATTAGTCTATCTAATCTTCGTAACCCGGTGCAGTAGGTTTTACTTTCCCTATTTTACAGACGAGGAAACTGAGGCACAGAGCAGTAACGTCAGCTGCTCTAGCTCACACAGGGAGCAAGCAGGAGGACTGGAATTTGAACCCAGTCTTGATTCCAGAGCCCAGGTGGTTTTATACCCCTTGCCACATAAGTTCTCTCCCCAGCACCTAGTATAATGCCTGACACATACTGAAACCTCAAATGCTTGTTGAATGAATGAATGGACAAATGAACAAGTAACTCCACCTGGAAGATGAGAGGAGCGACAGAGTGGCGTGCTCAGCAGCTGTGCCCCGTGGCTGGCCCGGAGCCGCCCAGCTGGCCCAAGCCCCAGCCGCCTCTGAGCCGAGGTTGACACACTTTGGCAAGGGAGGCCACCAGAGCTGTCACATCATTCACCAACATGCCCATCAAGTGTATTCAGTTCTCTTCAACCCGCATTGGCATTTTAATTACTGTTGGGTAAACTAATTTGTACAAATGAAGGCTGGGCTGCCTAATAGAATATGCAAGCTCTCTGACCTCTGACAGGCACTGACACGAGATACAAAGGCCGCCGAGGAAGGCTTTTTATCTGAGCCTTATTACTCTCTATTACTCCAATTAGTCAGGCTCCAGTGCTCCTAATTGGAGGAAAAATTGCAATTAAATCAATTTTTGATGGGCTGCAAGTGGGCTCCTAAACCGCCCCACTTGTGAAACACTGATATTATAGCAGCAAAGGTCACAGGCCTCATCAGCACCTGGGAGCCCCCCAAACCTGACTTCCCTTGGCCCCCTCCTAAAATGCTTCAAGGAAACCCCTGCCCCTCCACTGGCTTGGCCAGCAAGGACGGGAAGGAGGGAGTCATTAGAACATGTCAGGTCTCATTGCTGCCGCGGCCATCTGCTAACCTGCACCACTGACATCATTGCAGTGGCTAAGTCCCGAAGCATGAATACAGTGTGAAGGTCACGCAAACTCACCCAGTGAGGGGGAGCCAGGAGCAGTAGTGCAGTGACAGTACCGTGAGGGAGGAACTAGCGGAGTGGGAACAGAAAGTCAACAGAAGTCAAGAAGAGGAGAGACATAGGCTGGGGCAAGTGAAAGAGTGAGGCAGCCAGTTTCCAAATTCTAGTCAACAGGGCACCCTGAGCCACCCAGCGGGGAAGGGAAATAGATGGGCTTGGAAAAGAAAGAAAAAAAAAAGAGAGAGAGGCAAATAAATCTTGTTCACTCCAACCAACATCCACCTGCATGCAATACACAGACCAGAAGACCAAGAGTCACATCAGTGCTAGGGGCAGGAGCATGCTTATGGGGCCTGCATCTCCAGTAGCGCCTGCCTATGAAGGTGGGGAGGGAGGAGAAGATACCCAGAACTGAAGCTGTAAGACCAGGGAGGGAAAGGTAAACATAATTTTGCTCATCAAACTAAAAGATAATAAGACCTTTATTATTATTTTTTAACAACAAAGGAGGCAAGAATATACAATGGGGAAAGGACAGTCTCTTCAATAAACGGTGTTGGGAAAACTGGACAGCTACATGCAAAAGAATGAAACCATACACAAAATTATACCAACACGAAAACTAACTCACAATGGATTACAGACTTGAATGTAAGACCTGAAATCATGAAACTCCTAGAGAAGAAACATAAGCTCCTTGACATCAATCTTGGCAATAATTTTTTTGGATCTCACTCCAAAAGCAAAACTAACAAAAGAAA